TAAAAAAAACTCTCATAAAAATAAAAACAAAATAGAACTTTCTCAACTTGATAAAGAACATCTACATAAAACCTACAACTAATACTACACTTTTATAAAAAAGACTAAATGCTTTCTTCCCTGAGATCAGGAATATGGCTAAGATGTGCACTCTCACCACTCTTATTCTACTTAGTGCTGGAAGTTTCAGCCAGGGCAATTCAGCAAGAAGAAATAAAAGGCATACAGACTGAAAGGAAGAAATAAACTCTCCCTATCTGCAGATAATATGATTATCTATAGAAAATCTAAAGGCATTTCCAAAAGATATCTCCTAGAGAGAAAATAAGTGAGTTCAGCAAGGTCATAGGTTACAAGACAAACATAGAAAATCAATTATACTTTTATATATTACTAAGAAACATGTGGGCAATGAAATCAAAAATATAATACTATTAACAATTGCTCAAAAATATGAAATACTTAGATGTAAATCTAACGAAACATGTACAGGACTTAAACGGTGAAAACAATAATATGATGATGAAAGAAATCAAAGAAGACATAAATGGAGAAACACTGCACTCATACTATAGCTGTTGATTCTCCTCAAATTGATATATAGATCTAACACAGTTCCTATCAAAACCCCAGCAAGATTTTTGCAGATACAGAAAAGATTATTCTAAGATTTATATGGAAAAGTAAAAGAACCAGAATAGCAAAAACAATCTTGAAAGAGAAAGAGAAAGTAGAAAGAATCCATCTATCCAATTTCAAAACTTATTATGCAGCTATAGTAATCAACACTGTGAGGAACTGGCAGAGGGACAGACACATAAATCAATGACATAGAATAGAGAACCCAGAAACAGACCCACACAAATACGCCCAACAGCTTTGACCAAGGTGCAAAAAGCAATTCAATGGAGGAAGGATAGTCTTTTCAACAAACGGTGCTGGAGCAATTAGACATCCATAGGCAAAAAAATGAACCTTTACCTAAGTATCACATCTTACACAAAACCTAACTCAATATGGATCACAGACTTAAATGTAAATATAAAATTTTTAGATAAGCATAGGAGAAAATCTCCAGAATTTAGGGCTAGGCACCTGACACCAAAAGCAAGATTCATAAAAGGAAAAATTGATTAATTGGACCTTATAAAAATTAAAAACTTCTGCTCACCAAAAAACCCTGTTCGGAGGATGAAATAACAAGCTGCCAGACTAGGAGAAAATAATTATTAGCAACATATCCAACAAAAGGATAATATCTGAAATATACAAAGAATAGCTAAAAGTCAAGAGTGAAAAGCAAACAATCCAATTAGAAAATGTACAGAAGACAGGAGCAGACATTTCACTGAAGAGGACATATAGAAGACAAACACATGAAAAAAAGTTCAATATCAGTAGCCATTAGAGAAACACAAATTAAAACCACAATGAGATAGCACTACACATCAATCAGAATGACTAAAATAAAAAAATCGTGACAATATCAAACACTGGTGAGGATGTGGAGAAACTGGGTCACTCATATATTGTTGGTGAGAATGTAAAATGATATAACCAATGAGGAAAATAGTTTGATAGTTTCTTTAATAAACTAAATATACAACTACTAGGGCTGGATAAGGTGGCTCACACCTGTAGTTCTAGCACTCTGTGAGGCCAAAGCGGGAGGATGGTCAGGAGCTCAAGACCAGGCTGAGCGAATGCAAAACACCATCTCTACTAAAAACAGAAAAAATTAGCCGGGCGTGGTAGTGCGTGCATGTAGTCCCAGCTACTTCGGAGGCTGAGGCAGGAGGATCACTTGAGCCCAGAAGTTTGAGGTTGCTGTGAGCGAGGCTGATTGCCGGGGCAAAAGAGCAAGACTCTGTCTCAAAAAAAAAAAAAAACTTTAAATGCAACTACTATACAGTCTAGCAAACACACTCCTGGCATTCTTCTCAGAGAAATGAAAATTTATGTTCACACAAAACCCTGTACACAAATGTTAATAGCAGTTTTATTAGTAATAGCCAAAAAGTGAAAATAATTCAGATAACTTTTAACAGCTAAATAGTTAAACTGTAGTACATATATACCATAAAATACTATCCAACAATAAAGAGGAACAAACTATTGATATATAGAACACTCTTGATGAATCTCCAGAAAATTGTACTAAATGAAAAAAAGAACCCAAAAGGTCATATACTATATGATTCCATTTATATAAAATTCTTGAACTGAGAAAATTATAGAAATAGAGAACAAATGGATGGTTGCCAGGGCTTAAGATGTGGTACATCTTAAGTGGGAAGAAAGTGAGTGCAGCTACAAGACTGCAACAAGAGGGATCCCTATGTGATGGAAATTTTCTGTATCTTGATTAGATCGTTATCAATATTGTGCTAGTTTTGCAAGATTTTCCCGTTGTGGGAAACTAGATAAAGGATATAAAGGATTTCTCTGTATTATTTCTTCAACTGCATGTGAATCTACAATTAACTGAAAATAAAAGGTTTAACTTAATAAAAGAAGTTATTATGAATAACTTCACTATGAATAACTTCATACTATGAATAGGTGTGAATTTGTCATAGGATTAACTGTATCACTGATTATCTCCCATTGAAAAGAAAACTATATAGCCTAGATGAATCTCCAATTGATAGAAAATGAGCCAAATTAAAGGGCAAGGAAACTTTCATGAGCACAAATTCTGAAGCCACCTACAGATGACTTCAGTTTCTTTAATTCTCCCTCCCTCCCTACACCAACCAAAAAAAAAGGAATGTTGGTATATTTAATCACTTGCCCTACACCTTAAAAAAGGTTTGCTATGTAATATACCCAAAAATGATTAAGCATATATTGATATCACAGAGTGTAACTATATATCCTATTGACTCAGATCTAATACTTGCATTATAGAATAAATATGCAAATTTGAACCTTCAAACAGGAAATGAAATTTTCTAAATCCATTACATAACTTCAGATTCATGTGTGCACTGAAGGCTAATAAATCATCTAAACTTTCATACACAGAACCTTTTTAAATTTGCATTTATCTACAGTAAATACTGCCATGTTCTTTAATAGCTTGCTAGTTCAATCTAGCAAACTAGTGATTTATAGCAGTGACATATTTCAAAAATCAGAAATCTGTCACTATGTGACAACCAGTCAGAAGTCCACTGAACTTACATTACTTGGACTCAAATATTATAGGATATGAAAGAGATAGCAAAATGTCATGCATTCCGTATTCGAATCAATTATTTCAGTATTTGAGTTTATGTGTTTATAACTGTTTAAAACTATAGAATTACATACAATTTAACATGTTTATTATTTTAACACCCAACTTTATTATATTATCATTCACCCAATGCTTCCAAACTACATTTTAAAATGCATTTTTAAATTAGCTCATAATTTGAAGACTCTATAAGTCTTACTTTGAGAAACAGCAAAATTTAAAATAAGTGAAAGATCTAAACTATGTTTTCTCCACAAAAAGATGGACTTTTAGATCTTTATAATAATTTCATGCTAATATTATTATGTAGGGAGATTTACCAAATGTGAAAATAGAGACTATATTGTAATAACAATGCAGGAATAAACTGAAAATAACCTAAATGTTCACTATAATAGACACTGTTGTTTTTGTCTGTACTGTACTCACTCTGCCTTCCGTCCCATTCCACTCATGGCATTCTTTTGGCAATGAAGTGTCCCACACTCAGGCCACTGAGAGGTCACTTAAGCCAGGCCTGTTCACAGTGATTAATCCAAGTTCCCCATTTTTCCTGGTCAAAGTGATTAAATATGAGAATGTGATCTAAGTCAGGCCAATAAAAATCACTACCAAGATTTTTTTTAATTGGGAGGTGGAAAAGAATGGTTCTTAGTCTTTTATGTCAAAAGCTGGAAAGATAAGTAAATTGAAGGCTTCCAACAGACATCTTCCCTGCCATGTGGACAGAGAAAGTGCATCTGCACCATGAATGGAGGAAAAAAATGCTGGTGGCATCAACTCCCTGGTTCCAAAGGTCCCCTGGTTCTTGCAACTTCATTCAATGATCTGTCCTGGTCCTATGAACAAATCATTCCCTCTTATACTTAATTGAGCATAAAAATTTCTATCTCTTACAGCCAAAAAATTCCAGATTAATTTCAAAAAGAAGGAACTAGCTGAATTATGGCACATCAATACCCTTGTATGCAAGTTTTTTTTAAATGAAGTCTTTCACTTTCATTTATAGTTTTCCACTGACAGTCTGTGTTAGATCTAATGCCTTCTTTTTATAAAAAATACTTTGTTTGCATCCAGCCAGGGTAACATAGTGATCACTGACTCTCTCTTGGGGGAGGGAGGGACGGGGGTTTTGTAACGCTCTTATACCAACCTGAAATAAAATTCATATATTGAATATCATAAATTCTTTTTTATAAATTAGAAATCAGAATGTCTTACAATCAATGGCATCTTAAATTATAATTGCAGGGTTTTTTCTTAATGCTGCATATAATAATGGCAAATCTTACAACTTAGCATCTTAGATTTGATGAAATAAAACAGATAACACCTACCTATAAACAGCAAAAAAACTATACAGTGCTCTAACCATAATAATGGAGAAACAAAAATAATTTAAATAGTATATATTTTTCAATATATAAATCTTTGTAAACGACCACATAATGAAGTAATTAGATCCTTGTACCCATTTACAGAATATACATGAACATATATGACAAAAACAATGCACAGTGATTCAGGAGTATATTATTAATAGATCTTCAAATACTATTATATTCCAACTAGATATGATTTTTAATTCTTGGTAAAGTTCTAAATAAAATAAAGTATAATTTTCTGTTATTTTGAAGCCTACTTATATTCCTGCAAAATTCATCATATCTTTAAAAATACTCAAAAACAGTTTGTGCTGACATGGGAAATGATGTTAAGATCTAAATTCAAGAGTGTAAATCACGTGACCGTGGGCGGGGCGCAGGCGCAGATTGTGGGCGGCCAAGTCAGTTGACCCAAAGGGTCTCGGAGCCCAGTTAAGCTGGTCGCCTCAGCTTCAGAACTGCAGCCGCCATGGCCAGTCAGTCGCAGGGGATCCAGCAGCTACTGCAGGCCGAGAAGCGGGCCGCAGAGAAGGTGTCTGAGGCCCGCAAGCGAAAGAACCGGAGGCTGAAGCAGGCCAAAGAAGAGGCTCAGGCTGAAATTGAACACTACCGCCTGCGGAGAGAGAAGGAGTTCAAGGCCAAGGAAGCTGCCGCACTGGGCTCTCATGGCAGTTGCAGCACTGAAGTGGAGAAGGAGACCCAGGAGAAGATGACCATCCTCCAGACCTACTTCCGTCAGAACAGAGATGAAGTCTTGGAAAACCTCTTGGCCTTTGTCTGCGACATCCGGCCAGAAATCCATGAAAACTACCGCATAAATGGATAGGAGAAGAAGATAGAAGTGCCTGTTCCATGAATTGGCATTTTAGATGTCCACATGGAATAAGCAGCTTTGGCAAAACTCAAGTTATATTCTTATGATATGCATTAAATTATTTCTGTATATTATATAGTAGATCCCTTCATTTTTTGGAGAGTAGCAAATCTAGCTTCTTTGTACAGACTTAGAGCTCATCTAAAGATTTCATCTTTTTACCTCATATTTCTTAGAAATTTAATAGGTATACATTATCTGTTTTCCTATCCCTTTTAGCTCAATTACCATATATATCAATGTTGACTTTTTCTTTCTTAGATCTAGTAAAAAAAAAAAATTCTTTGAAGAAAGAAAGGGATTAAGTAATTTTTTCCCTAATGCTTTCTTGAAGGTCAAGGGCTTTATCTATGAAAAAGTAGTAAGTAGTTATTTGTAACCTGTGTGAAGCAGCAACTAGCCTGAACGTGGTCCATTCTTGCTAATGGTTAGAACAGTGGATAGTAGTGTAATTGGGCTGCTTTTAGTTTCTCTTATTCAAAATTACTAGACAACAGAATTCAAGAACTTGTTACATGTTATTACTTGGTGTACTGAGTTGATAATCATTTAAAAGTAAAGACCCTTTGTCATGGAAAAAAAAAGATCTAAATTCAAGAGAACACAGGATATAATACTGAGGGAAGAATACAAGTTCCCTACCATTGACTTTTAATGTTTAATAGAATTCATGCATCTTTCTTTGGATGCTCAAAGATACAGACCAAAACAAAACAGCTGAAAGAAATACAAAACAAAGGATATTCTTAAGTAGCTCCTTTTGCGTAGATAGTCGTAAGTCTTAATGCCAGTTTGAACTGTTTTAAACCTCCTTAGTTGCCTCCGTACCCTTCAGTTAATTGTAATACTAAAATCCTCACCTAATGAAATGTACTGTGCATATTTAACCTGTATCATATGTAAACATGTGACAATGCAGAGAGAGAGCTCTGTGTAACTTGCCAGAAAGGAATTTAAGGCTCCATAAACAGGCAGGCAGTGCCGATCTTACTCTCCAAAGAGCTCTTGCCACCACTAGGATTTAGTGTGCCCAGAAAATTCCTGTCTTGAGTAGGAATGAAAGCCCTGTGTGAGTAACCTCTAATAAACTCATCTAACTCGGCAAGCTGGATTCGTCTAGGTCATTTCAGTGGTCTCTTTACACCATCTCATTTTGGAGGGTGGTTTTTCTACACCATCTCCAGACTTTCCCAAAACAAATATCTTGCTGTTTGCAAATGTACCTTCACTGCAGGATCTTTAGCATCCCAAGCCCAGAACACTGTCTACTGACAACCCCAAATTATTCTAACAGCCAAAAATTTCCTCAACACCTCCAGGGAGCAATATTGGCCACACTGAGACCCACTGATGTATATGACTGGACAAGGAAAGATGGTCAAGAAACATGGTTAAATGAACAAAGCAGATATGTACAACATAATCTACTGTATATATGTATGTATATAAAGATAAACAGACACAAGTGGAGACATACATATTGATATAAATGTAAATTTGTAGGATTTATATGTATGTGTGTGTGCTTCTAGATGGGTAGATAATAAGCTATTAATAATAGCTACCTCAAAGAAATGACTTGAAGAAAGGGAAATGAAAGAATCAGTACTTCATAATTTTTCTATGCAATGAGCATGTATTGCTTTTAAAAATAAAACAACTTAATTAAACTAGTAAAGGGCATGGCCAACATCATTCATGAGCTAGTTCTCTCTTAGGTCCATCTTTTAAATTTATTTGGTCTCCTGTTCAAGTTTTCATACTCTTGGTCCATCTGTTTGTCTATGTATGTCTCTCTATTTCTCTGTTTCGCTCTCTGTTCTCTCTTCTCCCGCCCCCACCTGACCACATTCCACGGCTCTGTACATTTCTCTCTCTGCAAATCCCTTCTTTTGAGTGTGTCTCTTTTGAAATGATGTGTATCCATGCTTTACTCTCTCTGTGCATCTGTCTCTCCTTGTATCCATGCATGTCTCCTTCTCAGAATATAGGCCTTACACAGAATAAGGCCCCTACCTCCTCCTCCCAATCTCAGTGCATTAATCTTTATCTTGTACCTCTGTAAATGTGTCTGTCTGTCACTTACTCATGTTCATTATCTGTCTTCCTCTCCTCTTATGTTTCCCTGCCCCCTCATCTTCTTCCACCAATAATCAATATTAGATAGAATTAGGCAGACGATCAATAAGGAAAATAGAAGAGGTGAACAACACTATAAACCAACTAACCTCACAGACATCAATAGAACACTCCTCTCAATGACACCAAACATTCTCCAGGATAGACCACATTATTCATCCATAAAACAAATCTCAATAAATTTAAAAGGATAGAAATAATATAAAGTATAGCTTTTGACCACAGGGAATGAAATTAGAAATAACAAAGAAATTTTAGAAATTCAACAAATACATGGAAATTAAACAACACACTCTCAAATAATAAGTCAAAGAAGAAATGAAAAGGGAAATTAGAAAATACTTTGAAATGAATGAAAATAAAGATACACTATAACAAAACTTATGGGATACAGCTAAGGCAGTGTTCAGAGGCAAATTTATAGATATAAATGCCTATATTAAAATAAGATAATTTATAGATATAAATGCCTACATAAAATAAGAAGATCTCAAATTAGTAATGTAAGCTTCCACCTTAAAACACTGAAAAAAAGAAGAGCATACTAAACCTAAAGCAAGCAAAAGGAAGGAAATAATAAAGATTAGAGAATAAATGAATGAAACAAAGGAGAATAAAACGAAATTAACAATACTAAATTACTGAAATAGAGAAAAAACAGTGAAACCTGGTTTCTTTTTTCCTTTAAAAATTTCAGTGAGGCCAGGCATGATGGTTCATGCCTGTAATCCTAGCACTTCAGGAGGCTGAGGTGGGAGTATTACTTGAGGCCAGCAGCTTGAGGTTGTAATGAATTACAATCACGCCACTGCACTCTTGGCCTGGCAATAGAGCGAGACTGTATACACACACACACACACACACACACACACACAATGAAATTAACAGACCTCAGTTACATTGACCAAGAAAAAAAGATAAAACTGCAATATCTAAAACCAGAAATGAAAGAGAATGTATTACTAACAACCTTACAGAAATAAAAAATATTATAGAGGAACATCATGAAAACAATTGTACACCAATAAGTTAAACTTAGATAAAAGAAACAAATTCCTAGAAAAATACAAATTACTGAAACTGACCCAAGAAGAAATCAAAAATATACGTATACCTCTACTAAGTAAAGAGATTGAATTAGTAACCAAAAATCAACTCACACAGTAAAACTCAGGCCAAGAGGGCTTTGCTGGTGAATTCTACCAAGCATTTAAAGATGAATTAATACAATTCTTCACAAACTCTTACAAAGAAGAAAGAACATTTCTCAATTCATTTTATGCAGCCAGTATTATTACTTATGCCAAAACTAGGCATCACAGAAAACTATAGACCAATACCTCTTATGAATATGAACACAAAAATATCAACAAAATACTAGCAAGCCAAAGTTAGCAACATATAAAAATCACTATATAGCACGGCCAAGTAGGATTTATTCCAAGAATGCAAGCTTGCTTTAACAACCAAAAATTAATAAATGTGATACACTATACCAATAGCATAAAAAGAAAAACCACATGATCATCTCAATAAACACAAAGACAGCATTTGGCAAAATCTAACACCGTTTCAAGACAAAAACATATAACAAAATAAAGAAAACATCCTCAACCTGATAAACGGCATCTACAAAAATCCCATAGCTAACATCATACTTAATGGAAGTATCACTATGAACTCATGAGATACTTTAATTTTAAATACATATATGTACACATACTCATACATAAATACATGATATATTTGTAAGTGTGTGTATGTAGTTCTATCCACTGAAAAGGTATATGAGCAATGACCAACACAGTAGCAACAACCATGCCTAGAGACTAGACTGTGGTTTCAAAATACCACTTCTCACTAAAAATCAGGACTTCTTGAGAAATAGCCAATTCAAGGTTTGGAACTAGAAATGAAATGATGAGCCTGAAACACCTTGCCATATAAAATAATAGGAATATAATCAAGTCTAGTAGGGGTCTGCCAGAAGGACTCAAGAGCCAACTGGAAAAAGCTCCTACTGGCCAAGGATAAGACAATTTGAGGTTCAATAAAGATAATAATAATTATAATCAAATTCCCCTTAAATCCTTTAGCTCATAATACTTTAAAATTACCACAACTGATTGGTCTCCTTTGGAGAATGATAAGGTGGTAAATGACTGTTGTTATTTTAAAAACTAGTAAATAGAGGGAAAGAACCTGCCATATATGTGTATGTGTGTGTGTGTGTATGTGTGTGTGTGTGTGTATAGAGAGAAAAAGACACACACACATACACACACACACACACACACACACACACACCCCACATTCATTTGTTTGTTTCTTTGTTTGAGAGAGGCAGTGTCTCACTATGTGCCCAGGCTGGCTTGGAACTGCTGGACTCAAGTGATCCTCCTCCTTCAGATTCCTAGTAGCTGGGACTACAGGCAGGAGCCACAGCGCCCAGCTTATCTACATTAACTGTACCACTGAATAACCAAATAAAGGAGAGAAAACATCTCTTCATAGAAATATTCCAGTTAATATATGTAAAAAACTAGAATATCACCATTTTTCATACCCCGGTGAATGGATCTAGAAGTTGAGCATCAACAGCCGATAACATCACAAAAACAGAAACAACCATAATTGCCTCCTGATGAAAGAACACAGCACCACCTAGAGTCTACACAAAGGTATGGAAGCTGAGTCTGATTCTGCTGCCAATTTGCAGGAAATCCAGAGGACAGATGAACATGTTAAATTACATCATGAATAGGCAATCAACAAAATCTGGACTATTAGAAACTCTAAATGTCAAAAGGCCCAGGTTCTTCAACCCATAGATTAACCTGAGACTTAAAAATCATTATTTTTTAAAAATAGTAAAAACTAGATTATAGACTAAGGATGCATTCTTGGACAATATAACTAAAGAAGAAAAAATGATTACTATAAAAGTCAAGCTAGATGTTACATTTGAGGGAGAGAAGCAGTTGCAATTAGAAGGATTCTAGGATAGTTGGCAAGACTGTATTTCCTTTTTTTTTTATTTCAGAATATTACAGGGGTACAAATGTTTAGGTTACAAATATTGCTTTTGTCCCACCTGAATCAGAGGTATAAGCCTGTCCGTCACCTAAA